AAAGTTTTCTGTTCAAAAGTTAGAAAGAGTTCAGAGAACAGCTACAACTATGAATTAAGTTCTAAACAAAACACAGGTTGCCAAGAGACACTTAAGCCATTTTATATGCATTTAAAGTTGTGGACAGAAGCAACTTTCAAAAAAGGTGCAAGTGAAATGCACATGGAAATGCTTTAAAAAGGCATAATTACAGCTGGGGAAATGTACGTATGGCCCCTGTGCTGTTTCCTGGCTAGGACATTTCAAAATGCTGCAGCTGTTTCTAGCACCAGCCAGGAGATGGTAGAGGAGGCTGCACCAACCTGCAGCTCCACTCCCCACTCTTCCTTCCCACCCCCACAGAAAGGAGAAGGGAGAGCAGGCAGCTCTCAAGTGGAGAGGTAAAGCAGGATAAAAGTGATGGGGGAGGGTGCTCCTCACCAGTGATCCCAATTTTTCAACCCCAAATCCCCCAAACTTCTCCTTTCTCCCTCAAAGTTGAGCAAAGAGGTAGAAAGAATTAGGGCTGGAAGGCCCAACCCAGGTTCCCCTGGGAGTTGGCAGAAGTTCAAGCCTAGCTCCAGTTTAAGTTCAGATCAGATGGCACAGCGAGTAAGCAAGGGTCTGGTTGTCAAAGGGGTGGCGGGGGGGGGGAGTGTCCCAGCGGGACTTGGCAGCACCTGGGACCTAAAATGGGGCCTAGCATCTGGGAAGCTGGCAGGCTCTCCGTCTCTGTCTCTGTGCACATGTAAAAAAGGTGAATCAGGTCACAACAGTACTTCGTTCAAAAAGAACAGGTACTATTTTGGAGTGCTTCAGCTGCTTTTAGCATGTTTCAGAGGGCTTATATGTTGGTGCAGCTGGCCCTCTGAAATGGGTCAGAGATGTTCAGACAGACTGGTCTTTGATCTAGCAGAAAGAGATATAAGCCAGTGATTGAAGAACAAAGTTAAACGTAGATAGAAACAAGGCACCAATTTTTCACAGCGAGGATAATTAACCATTGTAACAACTTACTCAGACTATCATGGTTGGCTTTCCATCTCTTGAAGTCCTTAAAGACTGTATGTATTTCTAAAAGAAACAAATGTTATGTGCTTGATGCAGAAATTTGTGACCCATACTGAAATTCCTGAAACATGTTATGCAGGAAGTCAGACTTGATTATGGACCCTTTTGATCTTTAAAATTTATCTTATTTGATAAGATCTACATTTTAATCCCTGTTGGAAAGGTGTTTGTTTATTTTAACCAAGTTCTTAAAAGCCCCAGAACTTTAAGCTGCTGAACGTTTAAGCCCCAAAGTACTACAGTAATTCCCCATCCAACCACAGTTAGCTGAGTCACATATTTTGAATAATAATATACCCTTTCATGGATTATTACTTGCTGCTTGGAGTGTTTTGGAATATTCCTTAAATGTGGCATGGGATTTTATTTAGCAAATTCATCCACTAATGCATCATCTTTAACATACATATACAGCATCTCAGATGTGTACCTCTTCAAATATTCCAGCATCCCCAAGTCACTGCCTAAAGCAATTTAATAATGACAATATTTCCTCATGAGGGCATCATAAAATTCAGATACACATTAGTATGCAGCAGCAGATGGTTCTAGGAAGGTTCTTTGTAGAAGGAACATTCTGAAAATTAAATTATCCCTTATCTGAAGTTAGCACTTGAATCATAGTGTTTGAGCAAACAGCTGCAAGCTGGCACTTTATGGCCACTACCATTTTGTTTCCACCCTACGCATGGATCCTCATTACATCAGCAGCACTGGTTCTAATTGCAGTATAAGCAGCTCCCCCAGGCCAGCAGCCGCAGGAAGGACAAAACTACCACCCCCTTTTGCTGGGAAGAGATATGTGCTGAACTACCATTCTTTCATAAGGAGGGTTAAACAGCCACCATTGGTGCTTGGGTTGTGGGACATATGGCACACACTTCTATTCTGGGCAAAGCCCAAGTATTTACTGCCACACTGACCAGGGGAATAGAAATGCCACTGAAGAAAGTGGTATCTTCTTATATACTAGCCAAACACTTATGCCTACTGCTGTTTAAACCAAAGGGGTAGGAGAAACAGAAGCCCTAAAGTGCCCCCTCTGAAGGCTGCTGCAGTCCCCACAAAAATCTGTTTTCACAGAGGACAGAATGGTAGCACATTTCAGTTAGACTCAAGCCAGTGCACCAGTGCAATGGTGTCTCCAGGGCCATGGGTGGAGCAGTACACCATGTTCACCCTCTTCTTCTCCCACGTTTAACAGCTGGTTAAAACTATACATCTCAGTGTCTTAACATGGTAACAATATTGTGTAAGCATAACACATACATGCATATTCCTAATGTCTCCTTTTGAAAAGGAAGTCTTGGACAGTTTTCTTAAGGCAAAATTAATTCAATTCAAAAGATATTTTCTTACGTTCTAAAGAAACTTAAAATAAATTTCATTTCTGCATTCTTTGGTATATTTTCTTTTGGCCACAGGAAAACACAAAGCCTGATTTTATATAACTATTTGTATGGGACAACTTCTCAGGAAGAGTTTTATAAAAATGATGATCAAGAATCCATCTCTTTATGCAAAAAATGTGAAGTACTATGTGAGCTTCACCAAGAGTAGTTCAGAGGTATCACATTACCATTTATGCTAGTAACCAACTTACCAAAAGCCAATGATAAGTTAACAGCAAAACTTATACTCTGTAGTTTAAGGAAAGAAAAACAAGGCTCAAAAGTGAGGTTTTATTCATATTTGTTACATTTGCACAATCCAGAGTAAGCTATACAAACAGATAAAAATGACCTAAGATTAAGTTAGTCTACATCACTAAATTTAATTGACATTTGTACTGATAAAATACTGAAAGGAAATGACAATACTCCCAAGTTTAGAAAAATGGGTTGGCTACTGTGGCTGAAAAATCCCAATTATCCTTAACTGATCACAGATTATCATTTTAAAATTAGTTGATGCAAATTACAAAGTTTCCATGATGTTCATTCAGACTCTGCTCATAAAATATATTTTCTATCATATCAAATTTCATTAGAATGGAAAGAATTGTGTGATGTGCTATTTTATCTTGATATATATAAAAAGACTATGGAAAGTATTTCTCCCACCCATACAGTGACATAACACTGCAGCATTAGTTGCATTTTTATCTATTTGCTCACCCCATAAAATATTATTGTGTTCTGCAAGCTACTGTATAACTATATTCTGGTGACCAACACAAACACTGTCTTGTGCATGTTAATGAAGAACAACTACCAGGTATGGTCCACTGTCCTGCAATGTGCACACCTATAGACTTCAGTGCACAAAATCAACAGAAGAATTTATCCCTGTGTTTTAAGGCAAAGACAAATATATACCTAATCCTGTAGGAAGCTGAGCATCTTTGGCTCTCATTGGTTAATGGGAGCTCTGGTGACTCACCATTATGCTCCCATTGCTCACATCTGAAAGGATAATGCCCTTATGGGCAATGAAACACAAACACTGAGGCGAAGGCATTTTTGCCCTGCTACTATAATGCAAGATTCTTATAAAATCAGAAACTCCTTAAATAGTAATAAAGTAGCCAATAATTTTCAAGTGAATTTTGTGAAAAACAAAATTCTCTTTGGGCAAAATTTTTAGACAAGTCTTGTGCATGGGCTGGGATGAAAAAGGGTGGAAGTTCAGACTGGGTAAAAATAAAAATAAATGGTTAGGATATAAATTCTTTTCTTCCTTTTAGGAACAGAAGGGCCTTGCAGAACAAAGGAGCTTTACCAAATATTAGACATAGAATTACACTGATTTTTTTTCTTTTATTAAGATTAAAATAGTAACCTGGAAAGGAGAAAAAAAGAAATTCTTCCCCCTCTCCCATCCTGCTACTCCCACACGCATGCGCACATGCGCGTGCGCGCGCACACACACACACACTCACACACACACACACACACACACACACACACACACACACACACACACAGAGAGAGCCACCCTCTTCCTCTCCCTCTTCTAGCCCCCTGCCCCACCAAAAAGCTGTATTAGGCAAAGCAGCAGCCTGAGTCACAGTATATGAAGAAAATAATTAAAATTTCAATACTGTATTGAATAAGCTATGAATTATATTTAAAGGGAACAGAGATAGCAAAAGCAGAGTGGATAGCAGTCCCTTTTCCTAGGGGAAAAAATAATGAAAATATATACAGCATTGTATCTAAACAATTAAACCATGTTCATTGCCAGTTATATAAAATAGAACATACTGGGATAGAAATATATTCAAGAAAAATCAAGGACCTTCAATGAGCGTGCTATAAGAAAGTGAAAGCAATGTTACATGACTCCTCACATACAATATAAGCAAATCCTATCCACAAACATTTATAGCTATAGAAATAAAAACTTAGTTTAATACTTGTGAAATGTATCTGAAAGCTAGCACTGGACTAAAACTGTTCCATTCAGCCCTGAAACAGGATTAGCAATAATAGCAGAGGGGCAAATTTTTCCGTGCTGACTTTACGGTTCCACCTTCTCATACTATCAACCCAGCTGCCAGCAACCTAGAGCTAAAATCCTAGTAAGCATCTTGCTCCCAAAATAATTACCAAACCTTAAGAATTTACTCTTCAAAACTTATATTCTAATTGAGACTTTCAAACAGCTATAATGCATAAAGAAAATTAACATTATATAATGCTAAAAATTCCAAATCCAAATACATGTGCAAGCTACTAAGTCAAGAGATGACTTAAAAGACCATTGAGGAGAAACATTTAGGGCATTTTTACATGTACCACTTGTATATTTTTACACTACTCCAAGGGTGAGGGGAGCAGCATTTAATTAAAGCGCCTCTGAGAGCCACTCTAATTAAAGCACTGCTGTGTCTTGTGTATCAACATCCCTGCACTTAAAAATGGTGGCAAGTACATTTGAACTAAAGCTTATTTGACGAGTTTTAGTTTAAGTGTCCCCATCACCATTTTTAAGCACAGGGATGCTGATATACGAGATGCAGGAAGCTGCTGGAGTGCAGCAACTGTCACACTCCAGCAGACTATTAATCCAGCGCATTGGAACAGCCTCTGCACTTGTTATAATTGCCCTTATTTACTGTCTCTTGTATTTCAAGATGGTCATAACTTCTGAAAAATGTTAGAAAGGTAAAATCTAAGGACCTGAAGACATCTTTTAGTCATGTGTCAATAACCTTCTTCAAGGACTTCAATGACTAACAACCAGACAGCTTCACAAGTACAAAATAGGTCTGCAAAATTATATAGAATAAGAAATGTAAAGTAAAAATATGCCATATACCTTCATTATCAAGAAAACAAAACAAAATGCTGGTTTTGTAACAGTGCAATAACTGCAGCCTACTTTGTGTGCAGCACATGATCTGCTACATTTAGTGGCACTTAAGTATTATGCAGTAAATACTGAAAGTAAGAAAATTTTTGGATCTGCATAAGCGTAATCACATTATTATTATTACCAGAGTTGCTAAGCTACAGCATTCCAAATAATACCAATTCATTTTTAGTGCTTAGATTATTAGTTGTAATACGTATCAACACCCAGACTTCTATTCCACTAACACCGTGACCACTTCAGCCAAGTGTCATGAATTTTGCTATAGCACGTGGAACAGATCTCAGTCTGACCAATCATTTTCGTCAAATTCAGAATCATCATCAGAATCACTGTACTCCACAGCAATGCGTCTTGAAAGGATAGTTGCTACATCGTTTCCAACAGGTTCTCTCTTTGCTTCCTGTTCACGTTGCTCTTGCACCTTTTTCAACTGAATTCCTGTAGACAAACAGTTAAATTCAGAAACAGTTTGCTGCACATAAAATGTAATTTTAAATGTACTACCTAAAATGCAGCAGCAGGTTTAACAACTATATTTAGGTAGTACAGAGAAGGTACACCATTTAGGTATGAAAATTTCTTTATCAAGTAAGAGACAAATAAAAAGACCAAGTGGATTGGAGTCAATTGCCCAGGAGCTGGTGCCTGTAACCTTCTCATGACCACCTGTTAGGGCTGAAATGAAAACTTTTTATGAATGCAAGGCATTTGCTCTCAGAAAGACCAGTTTCAAAATGTGTCTGAAAACATTAAGGGCTGTGGTTTCTTAACACAAACATTACTGAACATAAGGCATAGCAAACATTATATTTGTTTAACTTATAAAGAAGCAACATCTACTACCCTGTAACTTACATTTGGCTTTTGTAATTCCTGTAAGGGGTTTCTTGCAACCTGTATATTTACCCATTGCATCACAGGACATGTTGTCATTTGATTGTATTCATATAAACAAAAATAATAATTTCTAATCATTTTCAAGCCTTAGAACATGGGACCTGGCATGTAGCAGTGATTTGAGAACCTTGCAAGGGAGTGCCTGGAAATTCTTTCAAGGGTTAAAAACATTCTGACCTGTTGTGGTCTTTTCTGAGCATTGTGCAACAGAAGAATTGCTCTATTATTTTTCTGTAATCAAAAATGAGTGAACATTTAAAGAACTGGCATTTTCTGAGACGTGCCTGGAGCCTAAAAAAGTTGAGAACCACTGGTGTATAGTCTCCACACTACAGCAGGCAATGAGTGTGGGGCAACACTAAGAAAAACCAAAGTTGCATACCCAGGGAGCAGAAACTGTCAGAATACCAAGGATGGACTAGCAGTAACAAAATATTTCCCTCAGCCAAACATAAGATGAAATTATGGGTAGCTGGCAATAGAAGCCATGATAACAAATCATTAGGTGATGCCACATCATGCAAAAAGGAATAATTTTCAATCTTTCTCAGTGTTTACTTACCCATACGAATGGCGGCAAGAAGATCACTTCGAGCATCACTGATTGGTGCCTGTGTGGTTTCATGCCGTTTTGTCTCAGCAACAGGAGGAGCATGCATTGGGGAGGAAGAGAGAGATGAACCTGCAGCAGGAGGGCCTGGAGGCAGAGGAGGAGGGCCAGGAGGTGGCGGAGCTGTAACAATTAGCCCAGTAGGAGGAGGATGAGGAGTAGCAGCATAAGTAGATCCAGTCATAAGTCCAGAATGAGACGGTGGCACAGGAAGCTGAAGAGGACTAACAAAAGCAGTTTGTGCTGAAGGAATCATAGGAGGAGGGGGAGGAGGGGGAGGTCCTGTAGGATTGTAATAATCCACTATCTGAGCTGGAAGCATCCTATATATATTATTATATATATGTAGACAGACAGACAAAGACAGACAGAGATAGAGAGAAAGAAAAAAAAATTAAAGCATGGAAATACTTGTTAACAAGAGTTGTTTTCTAAATAAAGTTTAAACATGAAGGATTAGATCCTAGTCCACCTATTAGGTGTCCAAGTGCAATCTTAAACTACCTTGCTTATGTCCCTGAAAAACAGTTAGTATGAAAAGCTAATATAGGCAGGTCCTCCTCTTCCTCACTGCTTTCTTTTGACTTAATCATAAAGCCAAGATGAGAGCATATTACAAACACAGGTCCACTAAAACTGTTGAAATTTAAAAGTAACCTTCATATGCTGCTTTTCCTACTAAAAGTACTTTACAAATACTGTATTATAGCATCTCAGGCCCCCAATACCTCCGTGAGGTAAGTATGTATATGTATTTGTTACTAAGCTACAAGTTCAGTAGTGAAGATTTTCAATAAATCTGTCAAATCAGAACAACTCCAGACCTGATAATCTGCCTTCCATAGTATCCAATACTATTCCTTTCTTTCAAATTTGTGTTAATAAAAGATACAGAAATAAAAAAATGGACAATTATATAAAATACAATACTGGTTTATCACAGGTAGATCATGCCAAATAAATCAGATCTGTTTCCTTGATAACTGACTATTTAAACAAGTGAAATGGAGTAAGATCTTTGGTAAGTATTAGTTATGGTATCATATAGAAAATATTAACTAGGAGAAAACAATTATCTTAAGAATTGTAAAGTACACAAGAAATTGGCTCAAGAGGAAACAACAGGGGCTGTACTGAAACGAGAACTATCAACATAGAAGGAAGTTATTAGTGGTATTCTCAAGGACTAGTTTGGAGGGAGATCTTATGTACTAATTTGCACTTTGCATCAAAAGTGGTGGTGAACTCATTGATGGAAATATTGTGAAGCACATTGAAGACAGATGTGGATCAAAAAATATTCACAAAGATCTTGAGGACTGGAATAGAAGTGGGATGAGATTTAAGAGTTTAAAAGGACACCTCAGGACTAACAAGACTTTTTACTATAAATTGGGAATATACCAGCTGGAAACAGTCAAGAGCTAAGTGCAGACAGTCAAAAAGCTCCAGGCTAAATTGATTCAAACTTTTCAATTTTCTCTAAATTACAGTAAAAGCCATGTTATCTGGCACTTCATTAACTGGCATGCTCTATTAACCGGCATGCTGGTCGACGCAGCAAAAGTGAAACTGGAAGTCCTACTTCGGGCTATAGCAAATTATTGATAAATTAATAAAGTTTACATGTAATCCAATATGACTGGAAGGGATTGTTCTCTCTAGGATGTACAGGGGAGGGGTAGGAGGAGCGGCACAGTGCCTGTTCCCTGGCACACTGATGCACCAGAAGCAGTGGGGAAATCACCCCTGATCTAGCAACAGACCCCAGCCAGGGTCTGCCTGGCACAGGTAGGGAAGCTTGCGGAGGCTTTTCCCACCTTCCCATCCCAACCTGAGCCAGGGGTGTGGCCAGGGAGAATTGCCCCTGGCTCTTGACTGGGGCCCAGCCAGACAGCTGAGGAGGGGGTGGGAGACCCCCCTGGCTTGGCACTGGACCCCCAACCTGGGGTCTGTGGGCTTCTCTCCCTCCCTTGCACCAGGCACACCCCAGCTGGGGGTCCACTGCTGGGCCTGGTGGTTTCCCTGGGCCCCAGCTGGGACCCCAGGGCAATTCCTCTGGCCACATTCCTGGCTCCTGACTTGGGAGTGGGGGAAGCCTCCATGGGCTACCCCCATGTGCCCAAACTGGTCTGTTCATAAACAGGTTTGACCAAAATCAGTTAACTTTGACACTACATCCAACCAGGTTTATCTTAAAACATTTTCAGCCTTTTTGAAAAAGGTTTGAGTGCACTGAACTTCTGTTCTCTTACAGATTTAAACCAGTTTCTGATCACTTAAACTGGTTTGTGTGTAACTTCTGTCCCTAGCTGAGAAGACAGACTTGGGCTTAATGTGCCATTCTAGGATGATGCATCAGGGGACATATTTTGAGCAGGGGTAGAGAAGTATGAATGCTGCTGTACAAGGCACTAGTAATATCGAATCTGAAAACTGTATAAAACTGGTCACTCATGTTCAAGAAGAATAAATTGCAGCTCTCTATTAAGATGATCAGAAGAAGGGTGAGCCTTTCTTAGAGAAGGAGACAAAAATGCTTAGATTGCTTAATGTAATAAAGGAGATACAATTACTCTCTAAAAATAAATCCTAGGCTAAATACTCAGGAGGAAGAATAGTTATTTAAGCTAAAGGACACTGATGGTAAAAACAGATTTGCCAAGAATAAATTTAGGATGGAAATTAGAAGAAGGATTCTAAGCAACAGAGGAATGAGATTCTGGAACAACCTTTCCATAGAAATGGGAGCGAGGCAATAACTTAACTAGTTTTAACATAGAGATTGATGTTTCAAAATGAGATTTATTGACATAGTTTTCTGTGGCAGCAGGGAACTGGAATCCACAAGCAAAGATGACACTTCTAGTCTTATGTCCCTCAAGAACCATTTTAATCTCTCTCATATATATATATATATATTATATATATATATATAAAAAGGATTTTCCATTTTGCATGCATCATGCTCCAATACATTTTCCTTGCAGCCCTGAATATTTTTCAATGAACTGTCTCTCAACAATAGTTGACATTGTTGACATTATTCCATGTTTTAGCAATGCTTTGGAAACTTTTAGTATTTTACAGCCTTATTAATGTAACCATATTAAATACATTATTCAGTATTTCAATTTTTGGCATCTCACCACCCAAGTTCATAACACTGATTCGAACGTTCATACTTCTATACCGGAATGAGAGATTGTTACCCACCTCAATTTACATCACGTTTTGAACATGTAAAATAACCTGTACAGGGTATTAGGAAAAGGAAAAATGCACATCCTACTGGTCTTTTGAAGAACCCACAACGGTAAAAAACAGGAGTTTTACCCATAGTCTGCTGGTACCAAAGATACGGAGCTGTGTGAACCATCTGAAGCCTGAGGTGGAGGTGGAGGTGGTTGCTGAGGTCTGTTTAAGGTAGCATGTCGCACTGTTGTAGAAGGTGGTCTGTATTCATGTTCATGACCCTGGGATACACCCATGTACTGTGGACCATCTCCTGCTCCATATGAAGGCATTACTGGCTGCTGATGAAGGGAATGATTTGGAGTAGCAGGATAAGAATAATCTGTAACATCGGATGCATGTGACCTACAATTAAAGTCAATAGGATGGGGAAGAACAAATTATATGAGTGGAGCAGAATATTGTCAGAACATCTAATCACTAATGCTAAGGAGTATATAGAGTATAAGAGTATAAAAACAGCTTTCCCTGTTTTCGTTTTCAAGCATCTGTCAGTCCATGGAAACCACAAAAGCAGCAATTATTGTGGCAACAGCTAAAGATGCTCAGATTTCTGTAACTTCAAAATGAATTAATCTAATAAACTACTATAGAGTAACTAAATCCTAATCTGTAGGGTCCGTATCTTCTTTTCAATACATTGGCATATTAACTCTGCAGCAAAATACTTTAGAACAAATCAAATTGAAGAAGCAGAGCTAGGAAGAGTATTTTTTTCAGTCATTCCTCATATTTATAGTATTTTTTGATAATTACAAATTATATAACTGCAGGCCAACCAGCTAAGTATTAATAATGGAAGCAGAAAAAGAAAGCAACGATGTAAGCAGTCATAATTATATAGAAGACTATACATTACCAGAGCAGAGAGAACCAATTTAAAAAGCAATTAAAGAGTTTTCTTGTTTTCTTGGAAAGACTAAGAGAAATTGAGAAATGCAAATATTAGTCGAGCAGAGAGTTCATAAAAATGCAAAGTGTAAGATGTTTTGTCATAAAAGCCCAAGAGAGGGAGCAAAAGGATGTCTTAATTTCACAACTGCATGCAGCTGTACTGTATTAGTAACAGGCAACTGTGCAGTCTGGCATTCAGTTAAAAGAGTACTAATGCACTTATCTTTTTTAAGACTGGGAGCCAGGTAAGCAACAAAAAGCCAGGGCTTTGAGCAAAAAAAATGACAAACCCTTTGGGCATTTTGTCTTCTTTCATGCTTCCTGCCTGCTCCAGTTTCTTTGCGTCACTCATGAACTCAATGCCCATTTTCCTTCTCTCCCACTCTTCTTTTCTTGTTCTTACTTTTCTCACGTTTATTTGCTGGTTTCTGTTTGGATTCAACTTGTGTTTCTCCCTCTAAAGCACAAGCATAACAAATGCATTGAAATAAGCTGCCACAGTTTGGAAACTTAAATTTTACACTTTGCAACTTTGACTGGGATATCACACTAACAATAATTTTTAATTGTCTAACCTCAGCATTCAGCTAAAGCAAGACAACAGGAATAGGAATTTTTTTTTGTCTTTTAATGTCAACATTGCAACATGAAGATATTTACTTTAGGCAATATTGATTGATAAGCATTGTATTTATAAACATCTCCAGGGCACTCATCACCACAGGACAATTTTTTTGAGCTTGTCAAATGTAGAAACACCATCTACAATCCGATAGCTTCATTCCAATTATTCTCTAAATAACAGATCAAACTAAAACAGTATTTTATACAAATTATTAAATCACCTTCCCATCCTAATCTTTGCCACAAAATTAACTCACAGTACATTTTATGGAAATTCCACGATACAATGATTAAAATATGATTTAAATCATATCTGCCAAAAATTAATTCTGCATAATATAAGGCTTTAAAATTCTGAAGCATAAAATACTGTCATGCCAAGAACCAGGGTAGATTGATTTAAATCACAGATTTAAATCAGCAAGCCAAAAGGCTCATTTAAATAACCGATTTTTTTAAATCAAGTTTCCCAGTAAATATTGTGTTTGTTTTAAGAAAGGTGTATTTTCATTGGTTGATATAACAATTAAAACATGTTAGTTTACAACTAAATACAGTTTTTACAGTAGGTCTGGTGATATATTTTCTAGGTACAAAAACTGCATACACATACATATATATCATATACTACATACATGCTCACACATATATAATATACAGCTAAACATAACATTCTAACATTTGAATTGTTAGAAATCCTACATTTTAGTATAAAATGGTGGTACAATCCTACATTTTAGTATAAAATGGTGAAATATATATTTCTTATTCACTAGATGGTTCACTTTTTGCTCACATTTGTATCAACTTGTATTAAGATGGCAACTTAAATTTAATTAAAACACACAAAACCAGCACTTCAAATGTATTAAACACATTTTGGATATAGAAACTTTTTTTTTTTTTTTAAATCAGAACAGGATGCACATTTACAACTTACTGATTCGTTAAACACTAGTGTTAACTGTTATAGAATCAGAAGTATGAACTGTGGTTAGTGAATTAAAGCAATTCTTTCAGGTCCCCAGGGGAAAAATTTCTAAAATGCCTAGGTGAAAGTCTTTATAGCTTAAGTTCCTATTTGCCTACTTTTCTTTAAAATGAGACAGTCATTTTTTTACCTAGGCTGTTTTGAAAATGTTTACCCTCTTTCTTTTGAGCAGGGGGTTAGTAGTTACTGAGTAGATGGTTGGTTTTTCATGAGAATAAGCCTCCATTATGGGTGCAGAATAATAAAATATTTATAATTTAAGAGCTGAGCTAAATAGAGCTCAGGTAGAAGGAATAACACAGGAGCTTGATACCATCCAGGTGGGCTCAGCGGATAATCCTGATCAAGGAGTACATATGATGGTGTCTGCTGGAGTCAGGGGCCAGGTTCCAACACCTGTAATGACTTTGCTGATCCTTTATACCCAGTAGTGTAGAACCTACATCCCTTGCAGGGTCAAGCCCCTAATACATATTTTTAAAGCTCAACCTCAACAGTTAGATATTTTTACCCTCATTGTCATATAAAAGAAAATAAACCCTTAACTCCAGATGTTTTGGTAGAGGCTCATTGACTCAAGATATTTTACTTAAATATTTTTAATAGATAATATTAATATATACCTTAGCCTATGCTGTATTAAATTTAAACCTCATTTTAAGTTGGTTTACTTTTTTTTTTTAAAAAGGAAAATTTAACTATAAAAGTTAAATTAAACAAATAAAAATTCTGATTTAAATTTAATAAATCATTTTAAAGATTTTTAAATAGTCCAGTTTTATCCACCCTGCCATGAACTGAATGGTACATATAAATCCTTTTTCCTCCACCCATTCAACACCCCTCCTAACTGCCTAATGATATGTCTTTACACTTTATGCTTGAGAAAGGTATCCATTGCAATTCTTTCCCTAAGATTGCTTTCCTGACATTTCAAACATCTGTGCACAGAGAACCATGAACATGTGTTTTGACAACACTTGAGGTGAAAAGGCAGAGAAACAAATAATTTGAATGTGACTATTTAATCTTATGGTTGTTACTAGGACTACATTCGGACTTGGAATTTGTAAAGGAAGCAGCTTGGAGAGGAAAATCACTTGCAGCTGAGCCAAAGGCACTAATATCCTCCTATTATATCAACATCTTAAAACCATTAACTTGAGAGATCCACTGAGAAAAAAATACAGAGTAATTACCAGGATATATTAGACATTTACATTAGAAACAGAGGTAAACTAAAATAAAATGGTGAAAATATAGATGGGGAGATTTCTGAAGACATTTGTGAAACAGCAGCAATTCTACTTTCAAGGGGTTAAAATTAAAATGTCAGAATGCTACAGCCCACAACCCCCCCCCCAAACATTAAAGAAATAAGGTTCTAAGCAGATTCCTTTGGTAGTGAACCAAAAATATCAACCAATTCTTACTCAATGTTTTTTGCTGGCCAGAATGAATAAACAGCTTAAATACTAAGCTGAATTATGAAATAGCTGTTTTTTCACCAGATCCCATTAACTTAGTGAATCTGTTTCTACCAGCAATTAAATACAACAAACCGAACAAACATTAAGGGAAAAAATTTCTAGTGGGACCTACTTGCTGAATAGGCTCAGATGTTCATTCTCCCTGTGTGCATGGATCTCCCACTGAGCTCAAAGGATGTCTCTAACACACAGTAGGAGCAGAACACTGAAAATGAGTCCTGATGTGTGCATCAGAGGAGAGCATTTTCTACAGCAATTTGCTTTAAAAAGAAAAATCACAATGCATCTGTTTTGGCAGCTTGTGCATATACAAGCAGAATACTGATAAAGAACATCTAATACTCAACTGAATACTCAATTTCAATACCTTATTAAAAGTAAAACCATGTATATCATTGAATATTTAAAAATACTTACTATTTGAACACAAAAGCACTTCAAGTTCTCACAGATTACTAGTTTCTGAAATAATTAAGTTATCTTGAACAAAAAAGTATGTATGAAACTGTTGGTAGCAATAAATATGCCAAACAAAATGAAGGAAGAAGTGATGCTATCAATTGAATGCAGATCTAAATCTTTCTGCAATTACACCTACTAAAAATTCAAAAGCAAAACGTGACAGTCACCATAAATGTGCAACAAAGCTGAATATTGGGATTAACAAATTCTGATAAAAAACCAGGCATGAATATAGAAATTTAAAAGAGATTAGCTTTAAAATGTTTTCAGAGGCTGTTTGAAATCTTTATTTTGTGCTTTTTCTGCATTAATTGTTACATACTCAATCTGTAATAAACCTGAGGATACTCAGCATCTCTGAATGGTTCAACTATGGTATAACAAAGGGCTTTGTTGTAAACAGACCTAGTATCTGGGGACAATGATCCCTCGGAAGATGCTCCATGGTACACATTTTGAGACAACCTGTTGTCAGGTCTAAGCTCTTTATCATATGCCATCATATTCCACTCTTGGCGCCTGTTCCTGGCTTTTCTAACTTTTTTCACCTCCCGGGTTGTGCCATCTATACGTTTTTGCTCCTAATGTTCAAAGGAGAAAAAGAAAGCATGCAAAAGAAAGAAAAAAGGAAAGGAAAAGAGCATGTTAAAATGCACTTAGAATGCAGGAAAATAAGGACTAGATTTACAGATGCAGCCAAGTCTACAAAAAATTTCCATCCAAGTGACTATTGCTTTATAGCAGGGACCTCATAGAACAGGGGCAGGCAATTATTTCAGGTGGAGGGCTGCTAACTGAGTTTTTGCAAGCCAGAGGGCCGCGTAACAGGCAGCTGGGGGCAGATGAATATTAATTTTCTACATTTTTTAGGGGCCCTGCAGGCCAGATAGAATGGCCTGGTGGGCCACATTTTGCCCACCCCTGCCATAGAAGGTACTGATCTTATTCATTAAAAGAGTTGCTGTGTTTTTTAGAAATTTAAACATTAGTGCAATGACCTTCACTTAAATTTTCCCCCCAAATACATAGATTGTCACTAATTTTAAAAGATACAGTACCATTGTTTTTACTTCTCCCAACAGTGCATGGTAATTATCTGTCTAGACAATTCTGAAATGTACCTCATACTTGTT